CATTTCTTAATCACTTAGTATTTTATATTTTTCCCAATCAATATTTCTAAAAATCCATCATTCTAGGTTCTCATTTTCAAATTTTCCCATCTCTAAACCAAGGTCAATGAGGATAATGGTCTCTTCCTATTGCTGATTCACCTAATATTTTCCAATTAGTAATTCCGGCAATATTTTCTGAAGCTAAAGTTTAATCTGACGCTGATTGATTTCTAATATTAATCCTCTTCCCTTCTCTGTTATTAAGGAAGAACAATGGTTTTTCTATCCATTGTTCACTGACTGGGCCCAGGACTCGGACAACTTTAAACTACCAAGCGATTCTAACAGTCACGTTTGAGAAGTATTGGAGCACACAGGTTACCTTGCAAGCAAGATGAATTGTCACAAAATTTTTGAATTCACAAACACCCAAAACTACATCTTGCCAGAAGCCAACAGATATGTTACCCTCAATAGAGAAATGTTTCGGACCATTAAAAACGCAGTGACGGCTATGATGTCAATGGATCAACTAGAGGTCAAAGGCCGAAGCAAAACAAAAATGATTGTGCCGGTTTGAGGTGAACCCCCCCCCCTTTCTTTTGGGGGGGAAATGAGGAAAAAGACAAAATTTCTAAATTTTTGGATGGGAACAAGTTTGCACTTTTCCTCTGACCAGATTTGTCAGGAACTGAACTCTAGAAGTCCCAGAGATACCACAATTTTCGTCAGCTTCCAGTCCCCCCAACAGTACTTCACAACTCATGAATCGCTTTTCAGATGTAAATGCCTCATTAGCACTGTGGCTGGAGAATCATTCCACCACCTGCATTTTCGGTTTTAGCTAAAGGAGGGGGGGATCATATTTGTAATTAAATATAACTAGTTCTACGTCATCAGTGTCGCCAACACCGCAATGATTTCAGTGCAGCGATCAGACAATAACTGATCTGTACAATGAAAATAGCTGCATGAGCTGGAAAGCTGTAGAAAGCAACAATATTTATACAATAATGACCATTTATACCAGGCATCCCCAAAGTCGGTCCTCGAGGGCCACTGTCCTGCAGGTTTTATAGGTTTCTCTGTCTTAGCACAGCTGATTCTGATGATTGCAGTTCACCAAAAGCCTGTTAATCAACTATCAATGTAAATCAGCTGTGCTGGAGCAGGAAACCATTAAAACCTGCAGGACAGCGGCCCTCAAGGACCGACTTTGGGGATGCCTGATTTATACGATAATGCCCTAATTACTAGGGGGCAAATAAAACTCAAGCGATCTCTCCTCTCTCTCTCCTCCACTACAGCTGTCAGCATCGTGAGACTGCAGTAAAGTTGGCAATATATTCACAGATTCAGCTTTTCTGGATTAATAACTCGTGAGTAGAGGATTTATTCTACAAAAGAGACACCTCTCTGCAACCACAGCAAGGCAGACAGTGAGCTACAACCATAGTTTCCTCAAAACGAGTCTCCTATCATGCTGGGAGAATTACATTGGACCCTATGCAGAGCTCGCTACTCCTCAAAGCTTAGGGACCGTCTGCAAGTTGCAAGATAATCAGAGAGAAATGTTCAAAAACGTCACCATGGAGAGGTGGATTATTACCAAATTAATTTCATGTGTATCTCATCTCATGTATTTTATAAAACATTTATTGGATTCGAAAAGAATACTTTTTTGAGGAATTTCCCAAACCCTAAATGACAAATGGCACCTCTATTTTATTATTAGAATAAGCTTAAAATGAGCAATGACTACACTATAGATCATTGTAGTGCCACCAAACTTGTAGCACACATAGATAACCTCATCTTGTCAAAGTAAAAAAAAAAGTCAAAAAGCCTTTATTGTCATCATATTCTGCAACGGATACAATGAGATTTTGGGACTTCCATATCAGCTACCGTAAAATAAATAAAAAATGCAATATATAAAAAAATATATATACATATATTAAAAGGAAAAGGAAATGTAAACAGTACTGGCACAGATTGTGGGGGGGGGGATAATGCAAACCAGTTGAAAAGTGTCCGTCAGTGCAGGTCGGAGTTGATCAGTGCAGGTCGGAGTTGAAAAGTTCATACTACAACTCTTACTTTCGGAATATGTGCTAAACTTGATTTTTTAAAATATTTTTTTCATTGTTTTTATAAGCAGGACAGGTGTGCAATCTCTGCAACAGGAACCACAGCACTGAGCGTTGTGTGCATTGCACAAAGTATACCTGTCACAAATGCAGGAAGGACTCACCTTGGCTTTGTAAAAACTGCTAAATGGGACAATTGTAGCTTCATATGTAGAGCTTTTCTTTGGGCGAAATAAATGTTACTGCTATACTGAAACCGTACTGTTAGTCATTCTCTAAGCTGAAATGTTGAATGACGCGAAAAGGCAAGAAAAGACAAAATACAATTATTCTC